TGTTCTGCAAATGGTATCAAAACACATGGCACCATCTCTGATGGAAACAGGAGCACGCCTTTATGTTATCAAATTCCTCAGAGATTATATATCAACTGGCTGTGTAATGTGAGTTTTGTAGAAAATGATAACACATCCTAGTTAAATCAGCTGATTTTTTTTTTTTGTGCTAAACATATATTTTAATGGGATTCACCTCACTTGTTCCTTTCGAGTGTGCCATTTTTTGCTATTTCTATTATGCATAAATTAACGTAAAGCTTTGATTTCATTTGGCTGCCTTATTGACATGTTTTGATTTCACTCAAGCTCTTGTCTCCATTTAATTGGTCTTTTCATGTTTGGTATCTCAGATGCAGTTTATGTTATAGATTTTGTTCCTTACGCATACTCAATTGGTACCTGATATATTCTGCCTTTTGCACGTGACCAGTTTATTGGAGGAAGGTGGCACAATTTTTACCTTTGAAGGAAACAACACAAAGTGCTCACTGAGAACTGTAATGAAAGTTCACAATCCCCAGTTTTACTGGAAGGTGCACACTTTTGATTTATATTAACAGTCTTTAAGATTGATGAGATGTAGCATATATAGCACGGAAGGGTTTTGCAAAATTTAGCAAAATGACATTGTTATTTCATTTAATATTACTGATAAGCCCTATAATGTTTTGTTAGGTTATGACTCAGGAAGAACTAGGTCTTGCGGATGCATTTATTAGTGGAGATTTTTCTTTGGCCAATGATGATGAAGGTCTCCTAAATCTCTTTATGGTAAGATTATTCATCGAAGCTTCTTACTCGGTTAAACACTTAAACCTGTACCTATTTTCATAGTATTTCCTGACTAATTGCAGATTCTCATTGCCAACAGAGACTTGAACTCATCCAACTCAAAGCTTAGTAAGAAAAGGTTTACTGTAACTCCTAGACCCCTAGAATTTGGTATTAGCATATTCTCCTCAGAAACTTCAGTCTACTTGGTAGTTAATGCTTTCGATTTCAGGGGTTGGTGGAGGCCATTGTTTTTTACAGCTGGTATAACATCTGCAAAATATTTCTTCAAGCATGTTTTACGTCAGAATACTCTCACACAAGCTCGTAGGAACATTTCTCGTCATTATGACTTGGTATTGGATTTTGACCTTAAATTCCTCACTAAATGTATTTTTTGTAATTAATAATCCAAGTAAAATATTAACCTAAATTTGAAAACACATTCATAATCTCTTTATTTCCCTCAGCAGTCAACCTTTTGATCTTAGCTTTGTGAGGTTAAACAAACAGTGTTTAGAGAATATTTTCCTCAACGAAGTAAATTTGCTTATTACTGGATATACCAAGATGAAGCTCACTTCTCTTACTTTTCTGTTCCTAGAGTAATGAACTTTTTGCTCTATTCTTGGACGAAACAATGACATACTCCTGTGCAGTGTTTAAGGTCAGGCTGGTTATCGTAACGATTATGCTTATGTTCCCTCAAAAGAAAGAAACTTCTTTTTTTTTTTTTTTTTTTTTTTTTAGTTCACTTGTAATTTAGTGCAGAGTTTCTCTTGACTGCTAAACTGTTTTATTTATTTTATAGAAGGAAAATGAAGAGTTGAAAGTTGCACAACAGAGGAAAATCTCTCTTCTGATAGAAAAGGTTAGTGCTTGGGACAACAGTCTCGAATTTCGTCTCATGTTTTCTTGCCATATTCAATATTTAATCAAGTTTTCCTTGTAATTAATCTAGGCGAGAATTAAGAATAAGCATGAGATTCTTGAGATTGGATGTGGTTGGGGAGGTTTAGCCATTGAGGTAGTCAAACAAACAGGATGCAGATACACTGGCATCACTCTATCACAGGAGCAACTAACATATGCAGAAATGAAAG